TTGGAAAAAGTGCCTCGCACAAACCTTTAGTTTTAATTAGTACATGGTTCTTGTCCTATATAGTAAAGTAATTATGCAAAGTACCCACACAAACATAAACATTCATTAGACATTTGCTGGACGTTCATAACTCATGCGACGTATAATGAATATTTAATAGAGGTTTGTATAGAATGTCGTTTTGTGTGGGTGTAATTTTGTTGTGTTAACGTGTGTTGTGTTACGTTAACGCGTTCGATGTACTACCACGAATATATAACGCGTCTACTGTGTAAAACATAATTGTGAAATCGCGTGTGGTGATAAATAAACGAGCGTCTCAAAGGAAATGCACCAACGGTACTGTAGTTTCGTTTATCACGTATGGCACATAGCGACGATGCACCGGAAGGGTATTTCAATAGAAACCGGGGAAAAAGTGTGTGACAGATTTGAAGTTATATAGAAGAACCACCGTGCTGCATGCATCGTTTAGAAGTTGTGACGTTTAGTCGATAATATTGATAGGTCGTACTAAACGATTTGAGACGCTTGTTTCCTTCGCGCTCAAACAGTTTAGTACGATCGTAAAGGTAATCCGCACACGTCTGCGCCCGATCAATGTCGAAATAAGCGCAACGCGCAAAAACAAGTTCTAGGTTGACACATTCTAACTTCGCGCGTTATCACTGTTATCAGCGAGCTGGCGCTAAAATCTAAAAAAACGTGGCAAAGAAAAATCACGTTGGTTAATCTACATAATTATTATTATTAAACGTCAAATATATTTAATCAACAAATATATTTAATCAACGAACAGAGCAAGTAACGAGATACATGCGAGAAAGTGAGACATCTATTAAATATATATGTATATATATATATATTGTAAGTATCAAATTAAATCTCTATCAATTTTAAACTCAAACATAAATAAAAAATAAAAATTTTTGGTGGATTCCACGCTTCGTTAAAAATCACGAGATAGTTAAAGATAACGAGTCTCAATCATCAGAACGATCAGAGTCTGTATTGCGGTCGACCCGGATATTTCGGGATTGAGGGGCTTTTACGGGAATTTCCGGGCGGAAGAGCCGCGGAGCTGTGCATTTCGCTCACTGTTGCGGCATTTTATCGCGTGGCAGCCGCCAGGCAATTTTCCCCCCGGCGTTCGTGGAAGCGCACGCTGCACCTGTGAGGTGCGGCACACATCTCGCATCTCTTAAAAATAACAATGAATCCAAAATGTAAAGCCTGCAGAATTCGCTTGCGAATATAAACACGCGCCGTGTTCGATCGTTAAATATTATCACAGACTACGTTTACACGACGACAATAATCCGTTTTGGTAACAGCCATAGTTCTGAAACTCCTAACATAAATTGTCGTATATACCGGGGTTTATGACAGCAGATGTCACACGTTTACATTTGCTATTCCAGATGCGATACACGACACCCTAACTTTCACGTTTTATTAAATTTAAAGGGAATTAACAATGTGTATTAAAAACCATCATATTTATTTTGATATTTTGTTTTAGACAATGTTTATTATAAAAAAATCATCCACTAACATATATTTCACGAAACTTATTTTTTACGTGTAATATAAAAATTACACGGCTGCAAAACTTATTTCACTGTACCAACACACAAAGCAGATTGCGTGAAATAAAAGTGTGAATGTGGTTAAATACATTAATTTATCACAATAAATATAAATAATTACAATAATTTTTTAAAACTAAGTTTACATAACAAATACCATATATTCGTTTTTTACACAGAGGTTGTTCACTAATCGTTTTAATTGTTTAATCGTATTTTTATACTACCAAGTCCAAAAGTCAAATGCAAATGTGAATTTGTGCGGAAATACTTATTTTCGCAAAAGTTGCAATAATCGCTTATCCGCTTCTGACGTTGAAATCCAAGATGGATGTGGAAAATATCGAGAAGCCTTAATGAATTTAAACTCGTCTGTAGGACACATCAAGTAGGAAGGTTATAAGTATCTGTTTAACGATACATTGTCCACAATGCTGTCGGTCTCGAATTATTGTTATCGATGTAATAACATAACTAGTATCATACGATTTTCACGACAGGAGATCAGAGAACACCTGTTGTGCTGTTTCAGGCAGTGCCCGATTTCGAAAGAATAAATAAATTTCACTCACTTACACACACACACACAAATAATGTACCATTATAATGTAATTAAAAGTATTTGGCAATCTATTTACATCCCAAACTAATGCACTGTTAGAATGAATATTTAACTAAAATATCGATTTTGTGCAAATTTATATATGTAAATTTTATGTCTTAAGAGTTATATGACATCTATGAAAAATACACACGTATTCTTAGACTTTTTTTTCGATTAAAACAGTTTGAGTTGTCGAAAGTTTTAACATTTATATGCGCAAAGATTCATCTCTTTCACAATCAGCATGAAATCACGAAATTGATGTATAATCTATATGTTGAATAGTCTCTTTCTTTATAATATTAAATAGTCTTCAGTTTAAAGCTTATATTTTTGGTCTGAAATATATATATATATATATAACTACGTATTATGTATATAATTATATCTTATTCTTTTACGTTCTGACTAATTAAAAGGTCCCATTATTAATCCGTCTTTTTCGACCTGACATATGGGAGCTAGTTGTGTGTAGTAGTTTGATAAAATTTCATAGTAGAGATAACACGCATTTTTACCATGTAAATATATATATTACATGTATATATTAATAGACGTGTAATAGTAGGTATAAGATTGTATCACACTAAAATAAAATAATATCTATATATAATTACATTATTAATGATATTACAATTCTACACACTACGTATAACAATGTAATATAATAATAAATTATTATATTATATTATTATGTTATGAATATATAAATCAAATATGTATAAATAAAACTAATATATATCTATATTAATTTACTATGTTCACTAATTATATAATTTCTTGATTGCTTGATTTGGAAAAATAGCATTTTATTAATATGCTATTTCACCAACTCTCCACTTTAATATATTTAGTGCGTTTATATTATATATATATATATATATAAACGCTTATCATACGTACATATATATACAGTCGAACCTCGATAATTCAAATCTCAAGGGAAGAGCTAAAATCTTTGAGTTGTAGAGGTTTCGATTTATCGAAGCGTTTTTTTCCTTTCCGCGGAGCAGAAGGAAGTGAATAAAATTTTTGTCTTATAGAGATTTTCTAGTTATAGAGGTTCGAGTTATCGAGGTTTGACTGTATATATATATGTATGTACGTATATTTTTTATAATATCAAGATAAAAATAAAGTCATAATTATCACCAGAGGTTCACATCAATTCTCGCTTCTATGTAAATACGCACGAGAATTTTACATTAATTTTCTAATATCTTTGTCTACATTATGTTAGAGACTACTTTCTTTGCTGCTCGGAATCAGACGCGTGTATTCTCTTTTATTAAAAGCAATTTCGTTGCAATAGTTTTATAAAGTAGATGAGAGATCTTTTAACAAAACGAGTAATATCTCTTACTTTCTTTTTTAATTCTTTTTAGCAAAGACTTTTAAATTAAAAAGAGATAACGTACCAGCAGCTTAGCAAGAGATCATCCTCTTAACTTCGCGTGCGCTACAAACACTTACACGACTATTAATCTCGCTAAAAACTCTCTAGCACCGAACGCAGGTCATAATACATATATATATATATATCTTTCGCCGAAGAAACTCTAGATCTGTAATAATCTTATTACACGTATATGTAAGAACTGCTTATATTTCGATAGATAAAAATATGTAGGCTCTCCGAAAATATCTGACATTAGTTTTATATGTATATATATATATGTCATGTAAATATATCTATCAGTTATATATTCAAAATAGCTTATCATTTTTTGATATTTATCAGTAACAACAGAGATATTCGTAGATATGACAGCGAGTATTGTTAGTTTTTCTATTGCGTATGTATGATTTAGAATAGTATGGTTTATATAGTGTGACTTTTTTTTTACGCTTTTGTACTTTATGATAGCATTAACTGCGAGGAATTATTATGTTTTTCTGAAAAAATTGAGAAAAATCAAACTAATTATCGTTTTGCGCGGCATAACACCCAAAATGACAAAATGACATTCGAGACGAGAAAATATGAATTTACACGTTCTTTTGTCGGTGACAGTTGTGGGATAAACTTGAAACTGCTATTCGAATTGTTGTAACTATGAGAGAACAGAGCAGTACGTCTTCAGACACATCTACACACACACATACACACAAAAGACCAACAACATTCATCTAACTATACTTGAACAAACCGCACTCCCGTTACTTGCACATAGACAAATTTCGGGTCTCTAAAGATTTAGCACCGAAATCTATTCAGCACTCGTATCTAATAAACTAAGAGAAAAACTGAATCAAACGCAAATCAAACACAAATGTCACGTGTAATTAAATGTACACTGAGGGAAAGATTGTTTTAATTAAAGTAAATATATGTTTTTGAGATTCCACCTTTTTTTTCTCTTTTTTCTTTCTCTCTCTTTCTCTCTCTCTCTTTTATTTTTGATGAAAAGATTGTTTATTTTTATTAAACAAAGATATTTAATTTTAAGTAAGCAATGCATATTACACCGCGCGAGTACGTTATTTTATATCTATACATTTTCTACATTTAAATATTGCTTTCATAAAATATTTACTATTATTTATTATTTGAAGTATATTGTTTTTTTCAACAAAAAAACTTTAAGTTTTTCTTAACTACAAAATGCATTCTACTAATTATGTTTTAGTATTTTATAAGATTAAAATATAAAAATAATTTATATATATAAAAGCATATGAAAAATATTTACATAAAAGAAAATAAATGTTGTAAATACAGTGAATATATCATTAATAATTTACCAATAATAAATAGTTTTCTTGAATAAAACAACATTTTTTTCAGAAATAGTTTTTCTCTCAGTGTATATTTGTTGAAAATGGTGTCTCTGTAAAGTTTCATTATTGAATAAATGTCTGATATTAATCCATGAAATACTTGCTAAATTATAATAATAGGCACCGCTTAATCATGTTTAATTGCAAAGTGAAAACTAAACGCGCACTCTCAATGACTCCGTACTAGAGAGAGCGATTTATATTTCACGACGAGTAAAAAGATTTTAAAATAATCCCTGAGCATGTGTGTCGTTCTTTCGTTCGCGTTGATGCTCGATGGTTGGCGTTGATAAGTTTTGTAGATCGAACGATCGAGCGACGCGCCGTCGGCGTCGGCGTCGACCGATTTACGTTTGCTTCGTGTGCAGACAATTTGCGAGAGCCCGCATGTATATGTACGTACTACGAGTAGAAGGAGGTGCTAAAAAGAGACCTCGTCTTCGGATAATAGAGCAATTTCTACGGTTTGCTCCTACGACGGATTACGTTCCAAGAAGAAATAGAGAAGAGAGAAAAAAACGGAGAAAAAGTCTCCGTCTACAATCACGTCTACAGGAATAAAGATAGAGAAAAAGAGAAAGAGAGAGAGAGAGAGAGTGTGTGTATATATAGAAGAAACAGAGACGAAGAGAGAAAACGAGTTGGTCGATCGAGTTTTTTTTTTAAAGCTTCGGTTTCTCTTCCGTAAAATTAATTACTCCACGTTCGTTCGGTTTGGATCTCGCATAGTTACGAATTGTAATTAAAAATTCTGGGCCGCTGGCGAATGTGTCGAAATAAAACGTTTCGCCGACCGGCCGATGATCCGATGAAAATTTTCACGTTTCCCCGCCGATCGTTACCAAAATCTGGTGCGACTATGTTCACGATATATATTTCCCCTCGCGTTTTACGATTTCATTGTTCGGCCTAAAACTCTCGAATGTACCGCTAACGAACCGTTACGTAACGAACAGAAATTCTACGGCGTCCCTCGGCGAATTCATCAAAATGTCTGCTATGTATCATTCATGAAGCGAATACGATGAATCCGCCGTAGGACGGTTTCGTCGTTCAGCCACTGTGTGTAGTGATAAGAAAAAAAAAAAAAAGAAAATATAGAAAATTCATCGGAAAAATACATCTCTGTAAAATTATTGAACTTCTCTCTGTTGCCACGGCGCGCTTCTAATTTCCGGAGGGCACGTAAGGACTCTGATACATTTGTAAATTTCGCGCGCGCGCAGGAAATAGATTCGAAACGTGTCTCTTCGCTCAAAACAGATCAGATCGTCTCTCGCTTCGCTTGCAACGTCGATGTGAAGCAAGCGAACGAGCCCATTTATCGCGTCAATCAGGAAATAAGGAAAACCGCAACGGTTATATTCCTAACGTCCTAATAGAGAGTTATCGCTGTAATAAGGATTTCGATAAGGGTCGAGGTAACAGTTGGGATACTGATACTTTCGGCAGTTCATAAAAAATACAAGGAAATTACAGGCGAGATAAATTCTGCAAAGCGAAGCGATAATCAAGAAGTTTCACAGCCGTATTTCGTACAAGGGAAACTCCGCGATGCCAGACCGTCATCATCAAAACACAAATGACGTCGTTTCGGGAACGAGAGCTATTGACTTAAACGCACGTAGCTTTGTATCCCAAAACGACATCGGGTGTTTTGCTGCAGGATGGACGATCGAAGTGATGCACGGAATTATTTCTTTCTCTGAACAAAGGTATCGTGTTACATTTCGCCTGGTTGCCTTCGTCCTGATGCCTGCTGTCCGTTACGTTGCTGCTGCTGCTGTCGCGAAAGTCTCTGGGCGACAGTGACTTACCCAGAGTTTCGATTTTGTCGACGTTGTTGACGCTCAACTGACGTTTGTCTCTTAGCAGAACTTCGCTCTTGCCCAACGACTCCTCGTAAGTTCTCTCCAGGAAGTTGCACACGCTCACGCGTCTCTCTCGCAGCAGCGACTTGCCGGGTGGGAACGTGGGCCTAGCCAGAACGTCGGTTCTGTCGAAGTGGCAGATACTGTTGCCGCGATCTCTCTGCAACGGTCTGGCCAGAACGTCCGTTCGATCAAACTGGCAGATGCTCATGCCGCGATCGCGCTGCGACGACGGCCTGGCCAGAACGTCCGTTCGATCGAATTGACAAACGCTCATACCGCGGTCCCTCTGCAACGATCTGGGGAGAACGTCCATGCGATCGAAGTGACAGATGCTCATGCCGCGCTCACGATGCAACGTCGGTCGCGCCAGAACGTCCATACGATCGAACTGATACGAGCTGGGTCGGCGTTCGCGTTGCAACAGCCGCGTCGACTCGCCGAAGGATCTCAGAGTCTTCAGCGTGTCGCCGTCCCGTTCGTCCTCTTCGTTCAGCGACCCCACGCCTTCCGCGTGCACCAACGATTGCAAATCAAACGCGCTCTTGGCGCGTCTTGGCGTTTCCTGACTGATCGGCAGCAGAGACGAGCTTGAACCCACAAACACACTGTTCTGTCGCAATCGAGCCGGTCCGCTCCCGGTTGCCGAGTTGCAGCTCAGCTGGTGCACCGGATGCTCGAGGCAGTGGATGTTGAATTTCGAGTAACTCCGATGCTGCGAACACAAGAGGAAAATACTCCGGCAAATCCTCCAACGACTGTTTACACTACGCAGTTGTGTTGAGAGACGCTTCATGATGTTTCGCACAAAGGATATATGTTTAAATTTATACGAGAAATTTGATACAAAGGCAACGTGAGACGCGAAATTGTCATGTAACATGTTGGTAAAAAATAACACATGTTTATAATGTCTCGTTAATAAATGAATAAACAAAAGAATGTGATAAAAACGTTCTAATAAAGTAACACTCAATTAAAAAAATATAAACTAATAGCACACTTGTTTACTCGAAACGAGATATTTTTATATACGATTTATTGTTTTATATTTTATTTGTGAGAGTCAAAAAATATATACATACCACTATATCGAATTTATATATTTTTCTTTATTTAAAAACATTAATATAAAATAAAATATATATATATAAAAACATTAATATAAAATAAAACATGTATTATATATACCACTATATCGAATTTACATATTTTTCTTTATTTAAAAACATTAATAAAAGTAACATATTTTTTTATAAATAAAAAATATTGGTAAAGATATTCCAAGATTTATTCACACGCAGCGAATATTGGGTGAAATTCCCAGAACCAGTTTGCAACTGTGAAGATGTATATAATGGGATAACGTAAACTCTGGTTATCTATCGGTGAAAATGTTGGGCGGACATGATCGGATATATATGTACATACATATATACATACATATTTATACATCTACATACATATATATATATATATATATATATATATATATATATGTAGATGTATAAAAACATCTATGTGAATGTCGAACGTGTTGACACGATTTTCTATCAAACGCGCCGCGAGATTTAATAGCCACGCGGCAGTATCGCGAAACAAAATAACGAGAGAGAAATTTATTCTTTGTGAAAAAAAAAGAAGCGCGCGTTAGCCTCGCGGCTACTCTCGAGATAATATTGTTCTTTCTTAAATAAAGTTTTCTCGAGAAATACCGATCGCGAAGTTGTTTGCCCGCATAGCATTCAGAGCGCGAATACACAGCGTCGTGTGTCACGAATCTCTTGAATTTTACTATAACAAGGACAAAATTGCTTTACAAAAGAGGGAGTTTCCTCGTGGAACGCAAAGTAGGGAACGTCTTAAGAGTATGCGATATCGCGTGGCTCGCTGAACTATGCAGCTGAAAAGCGGCAGTCTCGGGAACTCTCCCGCATGAATAATACGTGCGTTGGGCGCGCGCGCGCGCGCGCGTTTACGCTGCTCTCGCGCGGCGCACATGCGGTTTTCATTGTGACCCGCGAGTACGTTATTATTCTTGACGCGGGGTAACTCGGGGCGTTTTATAAGATGCGACAGAAGGTGCATCCACCGAGATTACGGTATTATCTGAGTCATCAAAGGAGCAGTACCGCTGTATTTACATGTATATTATGCAAAAGTGGTTGAAGCTACGATGCATCTTATCATGCTCTACTTAATCTAAGGTCGCTCGCAATTTACGTGGGATTAATCCGACGCTACGAAAGTTTTTGAATGAACAAAATTAACCTTTTCGTTACGGTGCGCTTTCTCTGCACGGAGAAGCGCACCGCGAATGCCAATTTTGTAGATAGAGCGAAATACGCGTATAGTCTTGGTATAAAATAATTGTTCAAATGTTAATTAAAACTCGGAATTGGTACAAAGTAGTCGAGCGTCGACTTGACTTAGTATCGACAGCTTGTTACGTGGATGCCGACTAAAGCCGGCGGATTCAGGAATGAAAGAGCAAACAACTGACCGTATTGACAAAATGCGGTAAAATAGCGGGATATTCCGTACAACAAATTTTATCTCGTAAGTTTTCTTGATCAACAAAAAAAATAGATTTTTTTTGTTTTCCACGACAAAATCATACGTTAATAGATACGGTGCGGTGAGCATTGAAATTAATTACCGAACTTCTAAGTTATATCTACGATTGGATTGTTCGGAATGAATTCCCATCGATCTTAACTATTGGAAAATGTTCGAGAGTAAGTAGATGTCCGATTGCGATTGAAGTGTCGAACACATCGGAATCCGTTAAATATCTTCCCCAATTTATCTAACACCGACAGAGATTAAAATCTGTGCGCTCATTGGTATTATTAACACACGTATAATTCTTCGTCATTTTGCTACTTACAGAACGAACGTATAAATAATGCAGAGTGCTGTCGCGAATTACGATGATTTAACAATATTTTATGACATTTATTGCAGCAAAATGTCAAACTAAAATTTAAAATATAATATATACTTATTGCACTTTTTAAAACCTATATTTTCAATTTAATTTATTACTTTTATATAAACAATATTACTGTTATTAATAAAATTACAAATTGTTTATAATGTTTTAATTAAGGTATTAATATTTTCGATTTATTTTGACGAATCGTGTCATATTTTAGTCATTTGACGAGAGTGCTTGCGCGAAATTGATTCGCTCACACAATCGAAAGTCTGCAAGCTCTCTCCCTTCGATGGCTTATTTTATCGCAGCCATCTCATCAATCACGGGATGAGATGCGCGCGACAGGAATATCGTTTAACACGAGCTGCATTGGATTACGGATGTGCGAGTACACATCGGGAAACACAAGACGGAATAATATTTCCTAAACGAAAATGCGTGTAATGTACACTGCGGCGTTGCTTTCGCAGTTTGATGGAACGATGTAACCCGCTCTGACATATAAGTACTAGAGAGAATAACAAACTATGGATTTCGTGCTCAGGTGTACGCAAATTAGCGTACCACTTCGTTATAGAGATGGCTTGAATATTGCATGTAATATCTGCCGTAGTTCGCAAGCATTAATATAAATGTCGCATCTTGTACAAACAGAAATGTTCAATATAATCGAATATCATGTTTCTGGCTTCAATATTGAATATTTTAGTTTCGGATTTACTTTAATTTTTTTTTTGACAGCCGAACATAATTATTTATACAAACTTATTTATTTATATAAACTTAATTTTTTGGTTTTTAATGTTTATTTCCTTTAGTTTACAGGGATATAAATTTGTTTAGAGCGGCTGTGATTGGAACATTGATTATTTATTGTTGTTCAGGATTATTATTATTGTTATCTTACGGATACGATATGATGAGTAAACATGCTAAAAAATTACTTGTGCTGAAAAATTATTACTTCATTAGTTATATGTTATATATTGTGTGTTTTTGAATTGTTTATACATTGAATATTGAATATTTATTGTAAAATCTTCATTATTTTGATAGAAAATTATTATTATTTAAGTCCGTTACTTTGTTTTTAATTTTAAGATATTTAAAGACAACATGACTTATTATCTAATACTTGCATATGTATTTGAAGAACAAATACAAACTTGTTGTATGCGTATGAAAATTACATTTTAATTATTAACTCTGCGTGAATCCATGAACGGGGTTTATGTATAAGCCCTCTGGGAAAGCCCTGGATTTACAGATGCATTCTGGAATTTACTTGATCACAGTGAGAAGGCATTCGTGATAGAAGACACAATGTGCATGATAGATAGTCGGCGAGAGGAGATGTTGATATGTCAGTCCGTGTGTATATAATATGTGTGCAACGTGAAACTTCCGCCTCGTCCGTTGTCTCTAACCGCGAGTTGTAATCCCTCGGGAAACTCACCAAATACACCCGGACAATTTGGGAAACAACGTAAGTAAAATCCGTTGCATTCGATATCGCAAGCGAACAATCAATTCGCGTTTGAGATAATATTAGATCAAACATCCTCGCGCGGAATTTATGCTGACCCCCCCCAAAAAAAGGAGCAAAAATCTTGCGGTAAACTAGATATCGATAATTCATCCCGAAATCGATAATTCTCTGCGCGATATTCGAGAGCTTCGTATAACTGTATTATACGAAGTCTTACACCAATCAAGAACACGAGGAAGGATAGTTTACGAGAGTAGGTAAATCGAGTTAAGCGAAGTATCTCACAAGAAGTTTTCATTTCGTTAAAGTAACTGCCGGTGACAGTTGCAGGCAAAACAGCGTGACCGGCTTCAACTTTCTCTCTTCCGTCGCGTATTAAACAAAAATTAATTCATTTTATATATTACGCGCCGTCGCGACAGAGCTCCGTTGTTATCGACAGATATCGAATTGCGCAGTCAAATTTGACCGTCGATCATATTTCACGTGTGTCGTTAGAAACGTTAACTTTTTTTCAATATTTATTTGCGATAATATTTGCAGATATGCGATAAAATAAATCTAGACGGATTCGTGCCAATCTCTCTGACGAATATTTAGTTCGCATACAACCCGTACGTACAATTTTAAGACACACGATATCTCTTCGATTTACTTAAAACAGAAACTGTAACTGACATATGTTGCGAACGTCAGCGGCGGCGCAATCGAACGTTTCCGCGATTGAATTACCATGAACGTAGATATATATGTACATACATATTGGCCGAACCGAACGATTTCTATCTGAAAATAAATTACTCGGAGCTCACTCAGGCGAGAAGGTTTCTGTGTATAATGTGTTGTGTATACGTACATACGTGCATTTTATATATGTGCGCGAAGAGAAATCCGCTTTGTTATTGCGAAAACATTTGATACATTTTTTATATCGTTTTTTTTTTTTACACACAAAGCGCTTCCGGGATTATTTCACGTTTTTGTACACTACTTCGATATTTTATAATTGATGCGATAAAAAATCCAACTGGCGCGCGCGCACTGCCGTAACGCTGTTTAAAAAAAGTACTATATTTTATACGCAACGTAAAAATGGATGTTGTACATCGTAAAAATTCAACCGGCCAGCACAACACAAAAAAAAAAGGAACGATCGGTGCTTCTATGCGTCCGCGACATTTTGTCGGACATTCGTCGTTCGCATTTGAGAAGATATTTACTCCTTTGTGCACGTAAATTCAATACCGATATATGTACGAGTGATACTGCAAAATATTCGATGCATTCTACGCGCGTAAAATCCGATTTCAGATCGAGAGAGATGCGTTTCTCGTTCATCGAATTTTCTTTGATGCGCACATGATCGGTGCAACAATGCGGAGGGAAAAAACTTTACCTCGCAGGTGTGACGAAATTCGCACGCAATTCACAAAACTGCGAATTTAAAAATATAAAAGTTTGGTTCGGTTTGCGGTTTAATTAAAAATGGAATTTTTAAAATTGTTAACGTTACACAAACCGCGTTTCGTCACGGACGATACAAGAAGCGATTGATAAATATCCGAAGCATGTGGACAGCGACAATAGTGTGTCACGTTGCAGTTGTCGTTGACAAGTTTTATCCTTCAGAAGAAACAAATGTCAAACGCTGGCTCTCGCACTGCGAAGTTATTCGCACGTGCGTTATCACGCACGCGGTGTTTGCGTGACAGCTCGCCAAAAGTTTGTGACGCTCTCAGTGATTTTTGACGATGCATCACGTCACACTATGTGGCTAAAATTTACGAGTTGAGCTTCGGAATTGTCGTCTCACACTCGTCTTATTCGCCAGATACGTTCCCCAGCGCGACTTTTATTCATCTCCGAAAATGACAAAATGTCTCGGTGGAAAGAAATCTTCGAGCAACAATGAAGTCATACGATGCCGTAAATAGCTATTTTGAGAAGAAATCGTTTTTACCAAAGTAGCACAAGTGCTTTCAAAGTAAAACGCTGATTCTATCTAGAGATAGAAAGCGATTATATGAAAAAATAAATACATTTCCCGATAAATTGTTGTTTACTTTTTTTTTTCGAATACTTATCAATCGCTCTCTCCGCGTGTACGTATATAATCTGTGTTTGTTTCAAAGACAGATTCGTCAAATCGAAGAAATTCCAACTCGCTTCTGCGTGTTACACACTAAACGCGAATATCCGTTACATGCATTTATTAACAATAGCGCGGGCGATCGATATGCGAAAATCGAACAATTCCAGGGCGCATTTAATGATAAATTGCTGCATGTTCTCCTTTTGTTGCACGAACAAAGTCACGAAATACATAGTCGTAATATATATGGTTGTCCGGACAGAGGTTGTTTACGGAACACGTATGTTATCCGCATTCGATCGCGATGGGCGAACATCCACAATACAGAATCCGAGGAGTATTCGTGACAAAAACACATGGCGTTTAAATCTTCGTTTATTCTCCCATGAATGATAAAGCGCATAAATGCGTTTGACAGTTTGTAAGGCACTGTGGATTAGGATTTAGCGAGGATTTATGCGAAGGGCATACTTGTAAAATAAGAAAATAAATCAGAATATCGATTTGATTTGCTGCATGTGCACTGAATTCAGTGCCGCCGCTGACATAACCGAGACAAATTTATTAATAATTTCTCTCTTCTTAATAAAATATTTTTTAAAATTATAAGTATATTATAAAAATAAGTGTATTATAAAAAAAGTAAATATATTATTAAAAACGGGCTTATAAATAATTTGTTATTAATGTTTAAAAGTTTTTATTAACCCTCAGACCGTCGGCATGATGCCGTATGGCATCGATTATTGGAACACGCTAATATTACACCGTATTTTAAAAAAGAGTTCTCTTTCATCTGACTTGATTTGTGAGAAAAAATATTTAAAAAATCTAAATATGTTGTTGGATGATATAGTTTAGCTCTCGAATTCCGCCGTTAATCTGAGATACAAAATTTATTTACACATGATTAACTTGGTAATAACGCTACTGTGAATTGAAAAACTTTTGTAATTCAACTTCAAAACCGTGACCAGCAATATAAAAAACACTCTTAGAAACATCATTTTTCATAATTGGAAAATTTTTTTACTTTTCACTTCCGTTTCCCGCCGGCCTGGCGCCGATAGGAGCCAGATGAAAAACTTAGGTCAATATTACTCCGCGTAATATAATAAACTCAATTTATATACAAATATGACGGAAAAAATACCATGTTTTTAATGGAAAAAATGCTGGCGGTCTAAAGATTAAACGAGACTTTTAATTTGTATACGATATAGTTTGGCAATCCCGACTCGATTCATAAAAATGACACGGTCTGTAAAGACGAGATTACCGTAAGATTACTTTTCGAAAGATGCGAGTGAATTTATGTTTGTGTACGTATAGAAAAGGTTTATTCTCTACGTGACTCTCGCGTGGCGCTTAGAAAACGCGTTATTTCTCACGTGCCGCTATAACGTCACGTTCAAGCCAATGCTTATGCCGAGATATATGGCACATCACGTATGCATGTATGAACTAGATTGTAAATTTGTGAACGAGAAGAAGAAAAATGTGTTGTGTTTCATCAACTAAATCGTATAAAAGTCGCTTGCGAGCGATTTGCCTATTTTTTTTGTTTAAAGCTGACATCAAACGGTTGATATATTGGAGTTTGCTTTTACGGCAATTAGAGTGGCGCCATTTTGCACGACCGAATTTCTTTGCACATTCCGGACAGGTTTGCGGCGCTTTGTTATTCGCGAGTTTGCTTATCTCTTCTCCAACGTCGGTTTAACATGCCGAGAGTTTGTCTGCCGGCTATAACGTTACATCGTAACGGCCGCCATTATTTTGGTAATTAAATGAGAAGCAATCAGAGTCGATGCAGCTTCCGAGCATATACAGAGAAATTTAATTTCATTATGGTAATTGCGGTATACATTTTATGTTTGTTCCGCAAAATATACAGCTTTATTTGCGCACCACGAAGAAACACTTTGCAATATTTAATGGAATTGAATTAATTTTACAATGTGTAATTAGCGCGCTGCATAAAACCCATTTAAAGCTGATAAAATTCTTGAATTTAGATTACGAAAATTAAATTTAATCTCGAAACCAACTTTCTAACATTTTTAGTAGAGCGTTTTAAAAACTAGCACGTTCTTCGCGCGCGTTCGAACGAAAACGTAATTAATTATAAAATGAAATATTTCCAACATTTAATCTTATTCTCGCGCGTGATTATTTATTGTGTTATGATTATCGTGACGTACCGATAATATCTCATATCGTGTACACTTAGTGTCGCGAGTGCCCCACACGCGCTCATGAATAATACTTGTCCGACATAGGCAAACTGGGCTTCTGTAAATGCTTGCGCATTTGCGCAAATTATGTACATACATTATGCTAATCCGACGACGCAACACATTCCGCCAAATGTATACGGACAGTCTGTGTCTCTTTGTGTTAACTATCCAAGCGAAATAAGAGAGTTCGCAAGGAGGAACGAGAGAGGGCTCAACGATCCCTGCATACGAGTGCACTCACCTGAAGTGGATTTGGGTCGACTATCGTGCAGCTTTGTCGGTGTTGCTGTTGAAATTTCGGTTGGTACGGCTCGAGCATCCGAATCTTGCCCCATCGGTTGAAAAAGAGAGCGATGGCCGCGACCCACAGGATCAGGACGAAAATGACGATCAGAGCCTCCTCGGCGCGCACCACTACCGCACCTGTTTCTGCAATATCTAATTAAAGTCCACAACCTTGTATTTGTAAAATAAAGTTGCTTAATTGAGCAACCGAAAAAGAGAATTGCGATTAGAGTTGACTTTGACGTTAAATTACAAATCAGAACATGTCTCAATAAATCTTTGTTTTTGTTTTTTTTTTTATTTTATTTTTATTGAAAAATATATTTCTTCAAAAACGTAAACTAACAATATTGTTTTGAAATGTAACGTACGCAATTAAACAAAATAAAGCTAGATTTTGCTTTATGCGTTAATATATTTCACAAGGTGTATATTTTAGTTAAATTCAAACTAAACGTTATTTATACACATTACGAAACATGACTTTAATAGATGTGTTTCTGTTATCAAGTCAAATTAAATTAATAATTATGTTATATATATCCAAAGGTTTTTACAAAAAGTTGATTTATGAACTAGTTTGTAACGTGTCACAAGTTAACTACAACAGAGACAGAATGACCCCAAGGCGGTATCGCGCTGGAGCACGGGCACCGATGTTCAGTCATGCGTAAACCTTTGTTGGCGACCTCTAGAATGCTGTCTAACGATGATGTTTCAACAGTATGCTGGCATACAAACTGATAAATTGATATCCGTCGCCCTACAAGGATCGAAGAGAGGACTTCACCCCGAGCTATCACGCGGAAAATCAGAACGAGGAGAAGAGGGAAACTAGACGGAATTCCATTACACAATGCCCGGTATACTCGTTCCTGGCATTTGCGCTGAACATGCGGAAAATATGGTCGAGAGACAGTTCCACGGGGTGCGTTATTTATATTTATTTTTCAATTTTTCTATCGCGAGATGTGTCGAGAGATTTTTTTTTCCGATGCATTTCGTATATTCCAATGTTTAAACTTTAATAAAAGTAACTTGAAAGAGCACCTTTGTAAAATAATTTCTCTGATATCTTTTGTTTACAAATTTTAATGTAATCTAGCGAGTTTCGACGCGCAAATTTTCCCTCGAATTTGCGTGAATAGTTTTGCGACTTTTTTTTATATTCGTTAAAGAAAAATTACGCGATTAATCTCGTGCCAACAACTCTTTCTTTTTGCTCTTTCTTTGATGATTCGTCAGAAATGATAAATTGGCTTATGTCTCAATCAAATGATAGATGTCTGTTTATAATTCTGTGTATAACCACAGTTGATGTAAACTGAAATTTCGTCGAATTATCGTCCAGCGAAGTTAACGAAAACTCGGCTATATCGAAAAATATATAAACGCGCGGCGCCTTTTGCAATAATTTTAGCCACGCAAACACCTTCTGCCTCGCATTCTGCGGACTGTTGAGCTGTTACTCCGTTTGCATAAGTAAATTTTCACGAACTTGGGGCGGATAATCCGCGCTATATATATTTTGTTGATTGATGACGGTGGAATTGAATCGACAGGCGGAAAGAGGAATGTAAAACGTTTTGGAAAATGACGCTTATTCTATGCGTCATTTATTACAAAAAAAAAAAAATAAACGAGAAGAAGAGTTGGTTAAAAATGCACAACAAGCCAGGAAACGATATCCCGAAGTCTATTCCCTTACAAAATCTCGCAAAATTGAAACATCAAACACGACGACCGACAAACTCACTATCGAAATTTTTGTCACATTTTTTTCTAGACGAAAAAACATAATAAATAATACCTGATTATCTCTCAAATAAAAGCACGCGGAATATTGCAGAAATAGTTTTGCCTTCATCTTGTATAATATTTAACAGGATTACGTAAGAAATTTCACGAAACACGCGGTCGTGTTTACAAAATATAAACAAGAGTTAAGTTTTTTCGAAATATATAAAGATAGATTTGTCTCACCGTCCGGGAGAGTTGAATTGAGTTCAGAAGTGGGTTCCAGTTGCGATGACATGGAGCCGACATTGACGGCGTCCGGTGCTTCTTCGAGCATCACCTCAATTTTTGTCACGTGACCTATAAACGAATATCCCAATTTAGCGAACCTCGTTAATCATCAGACTAATTAAATATAAATTATTACGAGGTAATTTATAAATCGCTGTAATTGCGCTTTTTTTCTGTCCATTTTGTTGGCTTTTTCTTTTCATGTACATATCAAATACGCCGGTGTTCACGTACCGCTTTCATCGGTTTCGTGACGTTTGCTCGGTAGGATCGTGACATGTCGATGTCTTCTCAGTTGGTCGCTTCCCTCCACAATGAGATGTTCTTTATCGTAACAATCTAAAATGCGAGAACAAACAGATACTTTTGTTAACGCGTTAATAAAATATAAAATAAAAAATAAAATAAACGTATTTCTTAGTGCAAATTATTTGTTGCATTAAACAATAAATCTGCGCAATTAAACAATTCTGTATTATTTTTATTAAGTAATTTAATTCAACGTCTCTATACAAAAGAAATTCAATTCTGTTGAAACCGTTGAAAAGATAACAGTAACAAAGAATATCCTCAAAGATAGATGTTATTTTCTATTTTGACAGGCGGATTTATAAGAGAGAAAATGTCGCATTGCGTTCCCGGGGCAAGAATAAGAAACAGGAATGCATCTCGTAGAATGCACAGAAAAAAAGAGAATCAGTGGTACTGAAAATGTGCCTCATCGCTCGCTCTCATGCATTATTCAAAGACCACGCTCGGTTACGTTTGATGTATCGGTTACACACTTCTCTCTCGTTCACTGTTCCATCGCGGACGAACGATCGCGCAACTCTGCGACATTCGTTTGCACTTGTGCTTATTATGCATGCGGTTTCGACATTTCGGTCCAGAGTTGTGCTAAATCTTTCAACGTCCAAACTCTATTCAATTCCCGCGTGACGTTTATCTTCCTCCGACAAATCACGCATTTTTGTAATCGCTCATTCGCCAACACATATATTAAAAGGTAATAAACTCTCAGATGAACTATTTTATATAATTATGGAAAATCATCGATTTATTTGAACCTGTCTTTTAGCAAGCTCTCGCGTGCATTTTCTTTTCGACTCTGAAATTATCGCACGCACATGTTCCACAAATAGGTATCTCTCAGCGCGTCGTTAATTATTAAAAATCTACCGATCTACCGATAAGTTATTTTTGTAGGGAAAAGCGACTTAAATATTTTAGAATATACTTTATACGTTACTTATGATACAGCGAAAATGTATATTGATTTGACTGCAAGACAAACACTTTCGATATGACTTGTAACAATTAGGGAATAAAGAAAGAGAAAACAATCAATGAGTTTTCAAAATAGAAAAAACAGAAATATTATCAAAAACAAAGGTGATATGGAGAAGATGGCTCTTTAGGAGCCGAGAAGAGAGAGAGAGTCGATAAAAATAGATCGCAAAAGACGTGCGAGATGAGCTCGAGAATTTGTGAAAAAAAGTATTTGTTAAACTCTTATTATATTCATTTTATAGGTATTCATTTATCTATAATAAAGTAAATTAAATTCTCTTTTACACAAAATAAAGTGACCTAATTTATCACAAATCCTACATTCTTCCTCAGCGTACGAGATTTAATATACTTGCGTGCTATAATAAACATCTATTAAGGAAATTGCTACAAAAAAAATTTGTGATCACATACACACTATCCTGTGTGTAATATTAACTGGAAATACTGGAAAAAAATAATGTTGTTTTTTTAAATAAAATTATGCAGACATTGGTTTAGGTGTTTTTGGACTTGTAGGTCGGAATGCAACTCTGTCCGCAATTGTTGGACGGAAGTCTTTTTCAACCACGAGCTTTAGATCGTTATCATTAAGAAAAAACCGAAAGTCTTCGAAGATCTCGGATCATCTTTCCGTTTTCGAAATTTCAAAAACCAACGTTAATACTTTCGAACATTCAATACTCGCGAACAAACATCGTTAATGCTTGCTTGTCATCATTAATTTTTTTTTCAGAATTTAAAAAGTATGCAATGCCGAACACGTTTTTTCAGTGTATTATTAAAGCACATTTTTTAAACATATTATTAAATTAACCTAAATAATCTCAACTGTTTATATAAACGCAAAATTCTAGAGAGAAAAGTTATGTTAGTATATAAAAAAAACACTCACGTGAAGTTGGCTTAAAAAATTAAAAAGACATGAATCACAAAAAAAACATTACTTTCCTGTTCCTCTAATATACATGGTAGTCACGAACGCAACACAATCAGGTAATAAATTTATTATATGTATACTGAATTTATTATTATATATTATTATATATATTTTGGAGTCCGTGCTCCAAGACTTCGACTTTGTATAGCGATTTTTCTTTCCCGTGTTCAACAGTAGACTTGCTCATCAGAACAAAAATCAACAAGTCTGAAATACCATATTTCTCGTTTTGAACTCGCTAAACAGTCGCCGTGTAAGAAACGAGAAAATCATGTTGGGAGGAACACAGAGGTTGCGCGAAGAGCACGCAGGGCAATTTCATCTGGAAATCTCTTCCTTTCATTCATTCTCTCTTTCTCTACATCTTCGCGCCTCATTCTCCTGTAAGGAGATGTCTGTAGGGAAGACGAGATAATCGCACACTTAAGCGAAGCGCGAGATTTAATGGGCCGCAAAGCACAGCGGCAGAGCTTTTTGTTTTCGGGTTTGTAAAAAGAAATCACGGATTGGAATGATAAAGTGCACACACACACGCGCGCGCGCGCAGTAAAAGAAACTCAAAGAAATCAACGTGAATTTGTATATTAACGTTTTCTGACGTTTTCATAATGTTACGCAAAAAATCCTGTGCGCAATAATACCTAGAGTTGTTGTTATGTTGTTTTTGGATCAGTTTATGATGACCGTAAATTATGATGAATTTTTCGCGTACGTTCTCTCGCACATTACTTCCTCTGATTGAAAATAACCGACGCCGTTAGATAAATTTATTATCTAACGGGTGCTGAAGCCCGATTTCATTACGTTAAAGTTGACCGACATGACGTGAGTTAGATAAAAGTCGGTTAGATAACAAGTAATAAGCAAGACGGGAGTCTTCAAAGAGGGACGCGTACGCAGGAAATTGAAGTTCCAAACACAAAGTTGTGACAGACTTGATTGCTTCCTTTACGCGATCAATATATGCAAAATAAAAAAACTCGCAATGTTTACGAGCGCTTGATATTAGATACATCTGTATTTTCTCTGAAAAACTCACATCTGCTTCAATGAGATTACTTTAGACGTTTTTTACGATAGGACTATTTAGAACAAAAAGGTTCACTTCGAAATTTTCATTATTGCTCTTATCGGGGGGATAACAGAGAAAACTGCAAATTGGAATACTTCTCTCTCAGAGAGATCTAACCACAGAACGCTCAACGCTCGTACGTAGAAATCCCGCAGAAGCGGAGCAAACAAAATGATGTTTCTCGAGAGGTTCTTCTTCTTATTTTTTTTTATCTAAAAAAAAATATGTAACTTTTCATACGAATAAAAATAATTGTCTATTATGAAATTGTAGAAAAAAGTTTAGATCTTTTTATGTTATATACGTAACAAAAGTTTAGATATTTTGATCTTACGATGAAATCTCGCGTGTGAATCTTTTTGCAATTTCTGGTTTATATAGTCTGTTGTAAAAAAATAACAGAAGTATTTTATGGTCCGTTTCTTTATCGTTCATTCGCTTTCTATATTACGAGCTAGAAATCGTCGTATATATATAACAATATCTACAATATAGGGGATGCCATTTGATGAAAAATTCCTCTGTATGACTTTATAAGATCAGATCTGAAATTTAACATGATTTGATCACTTGCGTATAATTTTATATGATCATATGTGTGTGTGTTTCTATAGTTTTTCTTATTTCTATATATCTTACATGTATGTAAATATGTAAATATATTTATATATATTCATATTGGAATATAAAAAAATATATTAATAAAAAAAAAAAAAAAAAATAAAAAAAATAAATAAAAAAATATAAAAAAATATATTAATATATATATAAAGTAATATAATAAATATATAATATATATTAATATATATTGAAGAGAAAGCTATATTATATATGCCGTATGTTTTTAACGCTAGATAGATAACATTTATTATTTATATACGTAGCAGTTCTCTATATTTTCAACGATAAGGTTTGCTCTTTGACACGACTTGAAAAAAATTGCAATATTTATTTCTCTCTTCTCTCTCGAGCGTTTTCTTGCGTATCAAGAAAAAGATGAAAAATGTGACGACGAGCATTATTCTCAAGAAGAATCTACACATCGACTGCAATCTTTGTTGGTGTTAAGTTATAGCATTGGAACACGTGCAGTAAGGCGTTACACGCAATAAAGCATTACGTAAAACGCCAGCATTAAGCTGTTTCTATCCCTTAATCAGCAAAAATATTCCTTCCAACGTGAGGAACGGATGCTTCTTTATTTCACGAAAAGCCAGATAATCTCACTGAAAAATAGATGTGAAAGAGACCTCTGTGATGTTTTTACAAGTACAACGTTATTGTCAATTCCTTTTTACGAGGAAACGTCTGTTAAAAGTGCAGCGAGACTTTAAAGAAGGAGCAATAATGGTTATTTTCAAAATAAAAAGCCTTCTTTCAGAAAAAGTAGTTTTCAGTAAATAAAATGTGCCATTTCTTTATTGCAAAGAAAGTGAAACTAAAGTTGAATTTTTTTGCAGAATAACAAATTTTTGTTATTACTCTCAAAATGTATTTTTTTTGACCTTCACAATTTCTTACAATCGCACCCTATTTCAAATTAATTATTACTCTCTACTCTCCGCTGTAGTAGAGCAACCGTACCTCCATTATATAACTTTATTCACACCTTAGCAACGGACAATATACAAGATAGACAACTTCCTTTCAATATTCTTGCTTACAAGAGCGACTTGCTTCAATAAAATATTATTTTATATACGAGTATTCGACAAGAATAAATTGAGTGACAGAGTCTCGTTGCCGAAGATGCAATAAGTCAGTAAGTACAAACAAATATAGCGAAGTTTAATACGGTGCGGTGTGCCATTCCGAAGTTGGTACAAAGTTTGTTACGACCACACGTAGCGCACTTTGATCACGTTAGGTGGACACATCTTGTGATAAAGTACAAACATTGTTATATTAAGGAGAAATGTCGCAGTTGTTCTGCAACTTCTATAATCTCGCAGCTAACTTAATTTGCACTCGAATTCGACAACAATAAATTAGAAATTGATTGACAAAATCAAAACAGGGGCAATTATCCTCCAATAA